TACCTCCCCCCATCCTCGTGCCTCCTCCCCGGATCCTATACACTTTGCCTACCTATGGCGATTAGCCCTCTCAGCTTGCACCGAATCACATCACATACTCGCCCTCTCCACCGTGCATTTCGGGGAAACACATCACCGCATATTAGCGACTCCCTCCACATCCTCACCCACGCACACACCTCTTCTGTTCTCTTGAGTTTTTATCCCACCCGCGCCTCCTAGATTATTCTCTCACATCCTCCTCACTCTGTTCTACCCGCACCACCCCCATCCTTCCCCACGGCTCCCCACACGCCTCCAACACCGCCATACTTTCCATTCCTTCCCCGATCACCTCCGTGAGCGCCCGTTTCCATCTTCCTTCTTCCTGCCGGTCGCGTCGTCCGTCCACGACCTCCTTCCCTCTCCCTTCTCGCTCCCCTCTGCCCCGACTCTCTCCCCTCTCCTTCTGGAACTTTCCTCTTCTTCTTCGTCTCTGCTCTCCTCCTTCCCTCCTTTTCTCTTTTTCTCTTTTTCCTTTTCTTTCCCTTTTTTTTTCTTTTTCCCCCCCTCTTCTCCCTTTCCCGACCTCCTTTTATACCCTGCCAGCCTATCCCAAAACGACGTCGTTTTCCTACATCCCAAAACGACGTCGTTTTTCTTTCTTTCAAAACGACGTCGTTTTTCCCCTCTCTAAAACGACGTCGTTTTTATTATTTTTTTTTTTCTACTCTTTCTACTTTCTAGTCCTTACACTTATAGTTATTGCCTTCTACTATATAGTTAGTGAGTAATTTATATTTTTTTTTGTACAAAACCAAAATTATATGACACAAGTAAAATTGAATGATGTATTAATATGATTGACAAATTTTAAATTTTTATTTTATAAAAAAACAAATTAATGAATTAAATTTAGACCCAAAAAACACTCAAAATTAATGAATTATTAAAAACAATAGAACATTTAATGGTAGCTAGAGAAAGTGCAAATGAGTCAATTTGATGATGGGTATGGAGAAGAAATTGAATCTGTCTTTTGCAAATTTCTAACACATACCAAGTTATGTTGGACCCATATAATACGCAATTAACTAAGTTGCAGTCAATTTTGACTAGACAAACTTAAATTTCATATTAAACTATAGTTATTACTAATAGAAATCTAATACACAATTATACAAATCTTTCCATCAAATGTTGCACTTTAATTTGTTGTAATGCAATTAAATGTGACACCTAATTACTTTTACTTTCTACCATTTCCCTTTTTTACTCAAATGTGAACAAAACATACTTTTGTAAATGCCCCTACATGCACTATAATTAGGTTTACCTAATAAAAATTGACTGTTATTATATTTTGATTATTAATATTTTTTATGTTACAATTTAGTCTCCGAAATTTTTATTTTGTTACCCATTTTTTTCCCGTTCTATAAAATTAAAACCTAAAACTACTAGAACATGTTTATCTTTAAAAAAAATAAAAT